CAACCCGGACTTTCTCACGCAGCTCCCTCCCAGTCCAGCTTTTCGGACCCCAAGGGCCCGACCGAAAGCCCTCAGCCCAGACTTCCGGCAACGGCGGGACTCCCATCTCCAGCCCACATTTCCTGCCAGGCCCGGCTTGATATCTTGTGGTTTACACTTCCTTTGGGAGGAGCCCAACCTGTCCAACACTCTTAGTCTGCTCGTTTCTCAATGGCTCAGGGAAAAGGTCAGTTCCTTCTGTCCCCTGTGTCCTCACAAAGCTACTTCTCCACTTCCACGCCTCACACAGAAGCTGGCGGTGGAAAGCGATCCGATTACTATTTCTTACCTGAAAGGCAGTATTTACACCCCTCCCTTTCCAGTATTGATAAAGCTGTCTTTGTCTCTTTAAATCTTTTAGGTTTTTTGTTTGTTTGTTTTTATTCTTTTGAGAGGGGGTCTTGGTTCTTAGCCTTGCTGTCACTATGTAGCCCAGTCAGGCCGCCAACTCGAGATGATCCTCCTGCCTCAGCTCCCCGAGTGCGGGATTACAGGCTTGTGCCACCACTCCTGGCATTTTTTTCCCCCTAAATGAAAATAAAAACAGGATTTGGGGACCTTTGTGTGTGAGCACCTTGACCTCTGGAACTAACCTTTCCTTTTAGCTTGTCCCTGCACAGAAGTTAGAAAAATGGAAAGTTAGTTGGAGGTGTTTGGTTGTTGATACGAGTTTATATAAAGATTAGAAACGTTCACCAGGTGGTTGGCTGAAATAGAAACGCATTTCTCATCCTTAGAAATGTTTCACCCTTTCAAATTGCCTTTTGTCGTCGTTATAAAAATAGTGACCTGGGTATGCTGGCGTACACCTGTACACCTGTAATCCCAGCACTCTGGGAGGCTAGGGCAGCAGGATCACAAGTTTGAGCCCAGTTTGGGTAACTAAGCAATTTACTGAGAACCTGTCTCGAAGTAAAAAATAAATGAATAAGTAAATGGCTGGGGCTGTAGTCCAGTCTGAAGGCCCTGGGTTCAGTCCCCAGAGTGGCCAAAAAAAGGAAAGGGGGGGATGAGAGGAGGAGGAGGACGCTTACAGGCAAATCAGAGAAGGCAGATCTGCAAAATGAGTGGTCAGAGAGGATCACTGTTGACTTTTTGATGTGTATTGTTCCAGGTCTACTGATGTTTATGCTTTTTAGACCATACATTACACAAATTTGTTTAGTAACCAGAATTTCCCCCATCTAGTGCACGTCTGTGCATTACACATAATCACATGTATTTTATTATAGTTTACCAGGTTTCTCACTTGTTACATCATTCTACATTTAGTTTCCATAATTTAGAAAGAATACATGATTTTTTTTCTTTTTGAAACAGGGTCTTACTTTGTACTTTAGTCTGTCTGGCCTTGAACTGACTGTGTAGCTCAGGCTGGTCTCCAACTCACTGTAGACTGCCTGCCTCAAAATTTTGAGTGCTGGGATTACAGGCATATGCCACCACGTCTGGCTTGACCAATAGTTATTAGGTAAAAACAAAAAACAAGAACACTTAAGGATGTACTTTTGTTTTTTGGTACCAGGAATCAAACTTGGGGCCTCAAGCTTGCCAGGCAGGCCTTGTGCAGCTGAGCTACATCGCCAGCCCTTGTTTTGTTTTGAGTCAGGGTCTCACTGCGTATGTAGTTCAAGCTGAACTTGAACTCACTAGGTAGCCCCGGCTGGCCTCAAACTCGAAGTTGGCAGCAATTCGCCTGCCTCAGCCTCCCTGGTGCTGGAATTACAGGCATGTGCTACCACATGCAGCTTTAAACTTTCTTATATTCCTTTCCCACTCATTTTTTATTTGGTTAATGGGTTTCATTTTGCATATTGATATAGACACTTAACATACTTTGATCATTTTCGACCCCCTGTTCTCCTTGTCCTGCCATTACCCCTGGTTCCATATGTGGGGGCAAGTTCCACGTATATATTTTGCTCATATCCATCTGTTAGTTACTTTCTTCACTGCCGACACTCGGTATCTGACACCCACAGTTTAAAGGAGGCTCGCAGTTTGTAGATCTTTCGGTCCATCGTCAGCTGGCTCCGAAGGAGGGCACTAGGGCAGAAGAGAAACGGTTCATCGTGTGGGAACAAGAAGCAGAGAGGAATTAGAGGAGAACAGATACACACCCGTCCAGGTCGTGCCCACAGTGACTCACCTCTTTTCACACCCAGCTCTAAACCCATCAGTGAGCCAACCCAACCATGAGTACCACACACTCACTGCCTAGTCACCTCCCCACAGCCCCATCTAGGAGCACATGAGGCTTTGGGGGGTATCTAGATATGTACTATACCACCTTCCCCCTGTTACGCACCCTGTCACCCCTGCTTCCTTCTTGTTTCTCTTTTCTCACAATAAACTTCTATCTAATTTACTCTCATTGAACTTGGGTCCTTGCGCTTGCGAGGCAGGCCACCGAACCACTGAGCTACATCCCCAGCCTTACTGTCATCTTTTTTAGATTCAACATATTAAGGAGAACATGTGATATTTGTCTTTATTTTATCTTTCTTTTTGCTTTTTTTGAGACAGGGCTTATATGTAGCTCAAGCTGGTCTTGAACTAACTCACTATGTAGCCCAGGCTGGCCTTGAACTCACAGTGATCCTCCTGCCTCAGCCTCCTGGGTGCTGAAATCACAAGTGTACACCACTATGCCAGGTGATATTTGTCTGAGTCTGGCGTATTTTGTTCAACATGATGGTCTCCAGATCCAGTCATATTCTTGCAAATGTACTCTCTTGTGGCTGCATAATAATCCATGGTGGGCATAAACCACACTTTCTTTATTCATTTATCTGTTGAAGGGCATCTAGGTTGGTTCCATATCTTAGCTATTGTGAATTGTGTTGCAATAAATGTGGCTGTACAGTTATTATAGTATGCTGACTTTAATTGCTTTGGGCATAAACCAAGGAGTAATATCACTATATCAAATAGTAACTCTATTTTTAGTGTTTTGAGGAACCTCCGTACTGATTTCCATAGTGGCTGTACTAATTTACATTCCTTGCCCCCCAACATCCATGCTAGTGTTCATTGTTTCTTTGTATTCTTGAGTTAGCCATTCTTTTTTTTTTTTGGATTTTTTTTTTGAGACAGGGTCTCACTATGTAGTCGAGACGGACCTGGAACTCACTATGTAGCCCAGGCTGGTTTTGAACTCAACAGCGATCCTCCTGCCTCAGCCTCCCGAGTGCTGGGATTACAGGAGTGTGCCACCACACCCGGCTGAGTTAACCATTCTGACTAGGATAATGCAAATTCTCCATGTGATTTTATTTTTATTTTTTAAAGTAAAACATTTATTGGTACAGTTTAGATATAAATAATGATAACATTCATCATAGGGACTTTGTACCTGTACATGATATATTTTCCCCCCATTACTTCCCTACCTTTTGACTGTTCTTCCTCTACTTATTTTCTTTCTTTCTTTTTTCTTTTCTTTTTTTTTTTTTTGGTGTTTTGAGACAGGGTCTCACTATGTAGTCGAGACTGACCTGGAACTCACTGTGTAGCCCAGGCTGGTCTCAAACTCACAGCGATGTTCCTGCCTCAGCCTCCCAAGTGCTGAGATTATAGGCGTGGGCCACCACACCCGGCTCATTTGAACATTTTCTTCCTATTTCCCAATATCATACATTTTGGTCCTTATTTATACTTTCAGTTTCTTTTTTTAGTCAAACATACTTTCAGTTTCTCACACCAGAGAAACAATGCAGCATTTAAACGTGTGTCCAATTTATTTCACTTAATATGATCTCAAGGCGCATCCATTTAGCTAGAAATGTCTGAAGCTTGTCCTTCTTTATGGCAGAGTAGTACTGCATTGTATTAAAAAAAAAACCCACGTCTTCTTTATCCATTTGTTGGTTATTTGGCATTGGGGCTGTTTCCAAGATTTAGCTATGACAAACTGTGTCACTATAAATACTGGTGTGCATATATTGCTGAGATATGATGCTTTTAATTATTTTGGGAGGGTACTGAGATGGAATAGCTGGGTCTAACGGAACCTCTTGTTCTAGTTTTTTTGAGGAAGCTCCACACTGATTTCCACAGTGGTTCCACCAGTCTGCACTCCCACCAAGAATGAGAAACGGTTTCTTTTCCCCACAGCCCTGCCAGCATTTGTTATTGGTTGAATTCTTGATAATGGGCACTCTTTCTGAGTGAAGTGGAATCTCAGCACTGTTTTAATTTGCATTTCTCAAATGACCAGTGATGTTGAACATTTTTTCATATATTTATTTGCCATTTCTACTTCTCCATCTGAAAAGGTTCTTTTCATTTCAGATGCCCATTTTTGGATTTGGTCTTTAAATTTGGGGGGGGTCTGATTTTTTTGAGTTCTTTGTATATTCTAGATATTACTCCTGTGTCTGATAAATAGCTGGTAAAATTTTTTCCACACACTGTGGATTGTCACTTAACTCTGTTGGTGGTATTTTTTTTTTCTGTGCAAAAATTCTTTAATGAGATCCCAATGGTTGATTCTTTGAGCTATCTCCTGTGCAATTGGTATTTTGTTCATAAATTCTTTGTTTACACCAATGTCTTCGAGTTCTACCTATTCTATTTTCCATCAGATTTAGTGTTTCTCTTTTAATATTTATATCTTTGACCCATTTTGATTTGAGTTCAGTGCATGATGAAAGACATGGTCTGGTTTTAATCTTCAGCAAGTGGAAAGCCAGTGTTTCCAGCACCATTTATTAGAGAGGCCATCTTTCTTCCAGTGAAGGTGCTTGGCTCCTTTGTCATAGATAAGGTGGCTAATTATGCTTGGAGTTGTTTCTGCATCTTCTAACCTGTTCCATTGATCCCCCCCTTTTTTGCCAGTACCATGCTGTTTTGATCACAATACCTTTGTAGTATAATTTCAAGTCAGGGATTGTGATGGCCCCTGCCCTGCTCTTTTTGTCCAGAATTGCTTCTGCTATTCTGGGTCTCTTCTGGTTTCATACAAATTTTAGGATTGTTTTCTCTAGTTCTGTGCTGTATGATATTGGTATTTTGATTGGGATTGCATTAAATCTGTATAACAGTTTTGGAAGTATGGCCATTTTCACTGTATTCATTCTTCCTAAGAACAAGGGATATCTTTCCATTTTCTGATGTCATCTCATCTACTTTTTCAGAGTACTGTAGTTTTCCATGTAAAGGTCTTTTACTTCCTTTGTTAGATTG